CCCGTGCTTGGTACGAAGTTTGAGTAAATTTCTTTTGGATAGTGGTTTCCAAAGGGGAAAGGTTGACACTACACTTTTTATCAAGAGTAAACACAATAACATCCTTTTGGTTCAAGTTTATGTAGACGATATTATATTCGGTGCTACTAACGAGTCTTTGTGCAAGGAATTCTCAATGCTAATGACAAGCGAATTTGAAATGTCCATGATGGGAGAGCTTACATTCTTTTTGGGACTCCAAGTCAAGCAAATGAAAGATGGCACGTTCATTTGCCAAACCAAATATTGCAAGGAGCTCCTAAAACGATTCGAAATGGACAACGCCAAAGCCATGGCGACCCCGATGAGCACGTCCGACCACCTAGACAAAGACGAAAAAGGTAAGGAAGTTGAAGTAAAAAAGTATCGAGGTATGATCGGATCCCTTCTCTACCTTACCGCTAGCAGGCCGGATATCATGTTTAGCGTATGCCTTTGCGCAAGGTATCAATCATGTCTGAAGGAATCACACTCAACGGCGGTGAAACGGATCATGAAATACCTTGTAGGCACAGTTAATGTTGGACTGTGGTTTCCAAAAGGCTCTTCGTGTCATCTCGTTGGTTACTCCGACTCGGACTTTGCCGGTTGCAAATTGGACCGTAAAAGTACGAGTGGGACTTGCCACTTACTTGGTAGCTCTTTAGTTTCATGGTTTAGCAAGAAACAAGTCAGTGTTGCGTTATCCACAACCGAAGCGGAATACGTTGCTGCCGGTAGTTGTTGTGCTCAAACTCTTTGGATGAAGCAACAACTTGTGGACTATGGCCTTAGTATCAGTCATGTTCCACTTCGGTGTGACAATACTAGCGCCATAAGCTTGACGAAGAATCCCGTTCTTCAATCAAGGACGAAACACATTGACATTAGGCACCATTTCATTAGAGATCATGTTCTCAAAGGTGATGTCGAAATTGAGTTTGTTGAAACACACAACCAATTAGCCGACATTTTCACAAAACCTTTAGAGAAAGAGTCGTTCTTCCGCATTCGTAGTGAACTCGGAATCCTTTACTCCACGATGATCTAACTTGTGCATTTCATCACTCTCATTGAACATTTACTAACTTGAGCGTCGGAGGGTTTTCTAACTCTTTTTTGCAGGGACAGTTCGAAGTGTAGAATTCTGGAAATCAGGGGGAACCAGCGATGGGTGGATTACACCATCGCTGGGAGGGAAGTATTCTTTTTTCTCAGAACCCCTCTTCCCATCGATGGGTATTTCATCCCATCGCTGGGTGAAGGACTTTTGTCAAAAAAAAATTTCAGAAACACCCTACCTATCGATGGGTCTTTTATCCCATCGCTGGGTGAATGATTTCAGTTTCAAAAATTTTTCCAGAACCTTCCCTCCCATCGATGGGAAGTTTCTCCCATCGCTGGGTGTTTGACACTATTTTTTTTAAAAAAAGGTTTTATCGGATTTCTAGAAGCCACCTTCCCATCGATGGGAAAATCCATACATCGCTGGGAAGGCAGCTTTAATTTCTTCCGTGCTTTCCAGTGGTAACCTTCCCATCGATGGGTAGCTCATACCATCGCTGGGAGCCTGCCGAAATTCAAAAAAAAAACCGTTGGGCACCAAATTAAATGCCCAACAGCTATATTTTTGAATTCAAACGGCCCTCCACCTCTCTCCCTATATATTCCTGTCACCTTGGCCATTTTTTCACACTTTCAACTTCACAAATTGCATTCCTTTAGCATAATCTTCATAAATTCTTCATAATTTTCTCTCTTTTGTCTCAATGGCCGGAGGAAAATCTAAGAGCAAGGCCTCCAAGAAGAAGACCAACATCGAAGCAACGTCCTCTGCGCCCCAGCAGTTTCCATACCTGGACGGATCCTTCCTCGAATTTGGCTCGGAGGAAGAACTTACTCGATTCATCACCCACTTCGCCAAACGTCCCATCTCACCGCCAAGGGTGCTGCCCGAGTTGTTCCCTCAACAGAAGGGATACTACGACCTTGACAACCAACTCAAGGAGTCGGGTTTGTGGCCCTTTGTCTCCAGGAGTCGCACCGCCTTCAATCCCGCTTATGTCTGGGCCTTCTACTATAATCTCCGCCGAGATGGGGACACCATCCGGAGCAGCATCAATCTCAATGACATAGAGTTCGACTTGGCTACTTTTGCTCGGGTTGCAGGGCTGCCCACCCGCGGTGACGACATCGCGACATATGGTGGCGATGATTGGATTCTCAACAACGAGGCGGTGGTCATCCGAGAGCTTGGAATCACCAACCTCATCCGTCACAGCGGCGCACCATTCATCCACTCAGCCCCACCGGAAAAGCGTCTTCTACTCTACATCCTCACCCGGATTCTTCGCCCCCGGGACGGTAGCCACACCTGTCTCTTCAACGAGGATCTCAAGGCCGTTCATGCTATCACCCATGGCGCCTCGATCAATTGGGCAAAATTCGTCATGATTCACATGGCGGATTGCGCCTCCATCACCACCGAGCGGAGCTTGCCATATGCCTTCCCCGTCATGGATCTCATTGTTGCCTCCGACATCCACATCGCCGGCCCGGACACGAAGATGACGAAGATTTGGATCATCCAAGATAGCACCTTCTGGAAGAAGTCTGGTGACAGAACCGGCGCAGGACCCAGTCGGGCTCCAGCCCTCACTCCCGCCAAAGCCTCTTTACAGTCCATAGCCGATACCCTAAATCGGCTAACCATCACCGTGGATGGCATGGGCCAGTACCTGGAAAGGATGGAATGGACGCTGCAACGCCAACACCACGACATGACGGCGTTCTTCCGTGGCATCAACTACGTCCCGCCGCCCTTTGACACCACCTTCCTTGGCCAGAACTATGAAGGCGAGGACGAGGAGGATAACTCCTATGCTCCATCCTCCTCCCCCGACGAAGCCGACTTTGAGGATGTGGTCGACGGGGACCCCATGGACGTCGAGGACGACGAAGAAGACGATGACGCCGAGGAAGAGGACGCCGATGCCTAGACTCTTCCTTCTCTCCTTTCCCTACTTTAATTGCAATTCCTTTATCTATTTCAATTCCGTTGTACTCAGCATTTTCTCCTCTTTTAATGAATAAAAGTTTACTTTTAAACTCTAAAAGTTCACTTTAAATTCTTTTCGTTAATGTCAAAAGGGGGAAGATATCAAGGTTATGCATAAATTGAGGGGGAATCTTTTTAATAAAATGGCATCTATTAAGGGGGAACATCTTTTTTTTAAGCCTCAAAGCCTTCCTCATATGCATAACCTCATCTCGTTTGCCATTATCAAAAAGGGGGAAATTGTTGAAACACGGGCTTGTCACGTTTTCGTACTAAAGCCGTGTTTATTCTTATGACAGGTTTTGATAATGCCAAACTGCCGTGATCAAGTCAAACACTGAATATACAAGGCGAAGAATGAAGAGAAGAAGAAAAGCTAAAAGAAGACCAAGAACGAAGACCATAGTCTTAGTGTCGTTAAGTCGGTCTTCATTGTGATCAAGACCGACCCAATCTTTACACCTTGGCTCTTAAGTCTAAAGTCTTTTATTGCATTTTATCACATCATAAAAATGTTTTTCAAACATGTTCAAATCATTAAAAACACTTGGTGTTCGCCCAAACCAAAAACCAAGCCATCAAGCGTTCGGGTTTCGGAAACCGACGTTCGCCTCTCGGTTATCGGCATTGGTTTTTGGCGTCCGAACCAACCGAGTGGTTTTCAACTTTTTATGATTGGTTTTCACTCTTTGGCATCTTTAAACGGTTCTCCAACAAAAACACCTTGAAAACCATCTTTCGCTTTTTGGTCGTTTGACAAAAATCTTTCAAAACGGCATAAACTTGGCTAGCCGTGGTTTTCACTCAAATGACGTGGTTTTTAAAGTGTCTTACTTGATTTCTTAGCCAAATACATCAAATAAGTGTTTTAAACACTTGGTTTTTTATTTTGGAGAACTTTGGATTTTTCGGTCGGTTTTTGCATCGGTTGGCTAGGCCGTGGTTAAGGCAAAAACCATGGGTCTAACCACCCACCCAGCGATGGGAAGATCTTCCCATCGATGGGTAAGCGGTCCCTTAGCCAAACCAATTTCCAGAACCATGCCAAACAGCGATGGGAAGTTCTACCCATCGCTGTTCAAGCCTTGGTGCAAAATTAACACAAGACAGAACCACCTTGCCCAGCGATGGTGAGGATAAACCATCGATGGGAAGGGATGACCGTTGTAGGTCATTTAAGGTTGATTCTTTCCTTGTTTGGAAGTCAACCTCCCACCCAACGATGAGAAGCTTGTACCCATCGATGGGTAGGCAACCGTTGGCTTCAAAACTGAAGGAAAATTGGCTTACCAGCGATGGGTAAGTCCCTAACATCGATGGGAAGCCAACATCTTGCAGATCCCAATTTTATTCAATCCCTTAAATCAAGCCAATCACCCCTTTAATGCATTGGTCCGTTGGAGCCTATTTTGGCACTATAAAAAGGAGTGTTTGGGTCTGCTTTTCTCACCAATTCACTTCACAATATTCATACTTTCATTGCATTCAAATAACATCAATTTCCATAGCTTTCTAGAGCCATTTTGTGTGAAGGTTGAGTTGTTCTTGAGCGTACTTAGTTTACTCATAATCTACTCTATAAGAGAGTCTCGTTCTTGAGTATACTTGTGTTCTTAGACACGTTGAGAGAAAGTATTTCTCTCGGTTGATTCAAAGGAAGGGCTGTTTCCTTTGAAGGATTCGTTGAGGTTCGTGTAACTCGAACTCTCAAGTTGTAACGGTTTGTTAAGCACCCGCAAGCTTAACGAGATAGTAGTGTAGCTCGAGAGAGTCTCTCGGGAGGCTGGATTAGCCACAAGTTGTGGTGAACCAGGGTAAAATTCGGTGTGCCTCTTACTCTTCTCTTTACTTCTCTCTTAAATTTTTAATTTCTGCGATTTCTACGATCAAACGCTATTCACCCCCCCTCTAGCGTTGGTGTATTATTATAACACACAACTCCTTTGTCCTCCTCTCTCTCTCTCACTGTCAGCAACTTCAAGGAGAGAAGAAAACAGCCTCCTCCATAGATGGTTCAAGAAGAAGAAGAAACAAGAATAAACCATCCATAGTTTCCAAATCATGAGTTCCAAACGCAGCATCAACTTCTACGTAAGTTCTGAAATTTTCCATCCAATATCTCGAAGTACTTTCTGAACCAAAGTTGTAGCCCCGGACGATACGAATCCAGCCCAACAAACAGATCGCGATTTCGTTAAGTAACGAAGAAGATATGGACAAAATACCGGGACTGCGCCAGTGGTGGTGAGCTCCTCGGGTTAGCATGTGTTTCTTCACCAAATTGATATTATTTCATTCCAAATACTTACCATAAACTCTCTAACAATTATTAGGAACATCCGGAAGGTATCGTAGAGAAAATTCGGTGTTGGAATATTGAAATAAAGGAGTTAATTGTTGGAATCATTGTTCATCGACATATACAAAATCCTGGACAGCAACTATCCTTTGACTTCAGGTCCAATTTACGCTATCTTACGTCTGTTAAAACGAAATACTTTCTATAAGAAAAATGTAGCCTTACATCTTAGGAGTCTGCAGAATCAAACGGTTTGCGATTTCGTGAAGAAACGATGGAGATATGCTCAAAATACCGCAGGCTGTCCAATTATGACGGGAATGACAAAGTTGGTGAATTTCGTTCTTGTTTCCACTCCCGCTCATCCGTAAGGTTTCGGCCGATGATTTCCAGGTCTGTACCTTTGCGTTAGACTTGTCGAATCATTCATCACATGCGTACATGAACATATATGTTAATCCATTTGTTGAAATCATTCCAAAATATATATGTGACACATATATAAGTCATCTTTGTGTTAAGACCATAATACACCAAAATCATAAAGTTATTATATATAAACATTTGAAATCAACCCAAAAATATGTATTTATTAATCAAAGGTGTTTAAAAGACTTAAATAAGTATTTTTGGACACTCAAAATATCAAGAATAAGATTCGCAGACCCAAACGGTTGACGCAAACGGTCGACCGTTGTATTAAACTTCAAAACGAACCACGACTGTCAGCCAAACGGGCGACCGCCGGTGGTTGACGGTCGGCCGCCGCCCATCCAGCCGAAGTCCGCCATCCGCAGCTAGTCAACTATGGTCGACCGCTGGTCAACCACGGTCGACCGTCACGGTGTTCCGTCAGCCCGACGTAATGAAGGTCGAGGTCGACCGTCGCGCCAAACGGTCGACCGTTCCGAGCCACGTAGCTTAATTGAATGATATTTTATCAGATTTCACCTAAATAAAATAAAGTATATTTATCCATTTATATTGTTTACAAATTGTTCATATCATATGATTCATTTCATCATCCATATTGAAGCATATCACATCATGTGCATGCGTAAGAGATCATGCTTAATTGCGTCTCTTATAGCGTGATGTGCGGGACTTACTAGTCCGACATCACCCGTTCTGGGCTTAGTGTACGTACATGGTATTCAGGTTTCGAGTAC